CCTCTTTATTTCAGTTTCTGGTAGGTTGTAAAGCACTGCAACTCTGTATCGCATTTATCCTTGTTATTTAAAATAGAATTTGGTATGCAGCTGGTCGGGGTCGTCGATTGATCTATGATGACAAGTGCCACTGTCCTACAGTCACCTATCTCCTTCCGGAACTTACTAGAACATTGTAGTTGTGGATTTTCGAGTTGTTAGCAACTGTTCAGCGCTATGCAGACGCTTACATGGACCCCTCACCTGCTGCATCAGTTTTAGCCAGTAACAGTTGAAAATAACACATTTCCTTTGGATTGGGTCAACCCAACCATTCTTAATGGACTTTGCATCTCGAATTCCCCACCTTTCCAGCGCTCGGACTTCATTTCGTCTAATGCTGTAGTGCTTTTAAGGACTTGAAGCTTTGTGAATGAACTTCAAGATTTCAAACGGCCCATAATGCACATATCAGGTGCTCAATCGGTACGGTTCCTGCACTATTTTTAGCTTATCATCTAGAACTTTGTTTCTCAGATTTTTATTCTGCCTAGGTCACCTACCCTCTCAGACCTTCCGCCAGGTTGAGTGACAGTCTGCTCTTGTGGTGGTAAGAAGATATGACTGCTCGACAACATTTCGATTTTTCCGCAAGCCCCATAGAATCAACTTTAACTAGTAGTCCTGGGGAATTCCGTCCTGTGGTCATATTCCATCCCCTGTTTCAGGACAGCAGTGGCGCTCGAGTGTTTAGGGTCTGGAACCTGCACAGTCGCGAAACTCTCAGTGAACTTGTGTTGGGGTTCCGTCACCATGTATTCCGATGAATCGGCATTTGTATTGTACGATGTATCGTGTGGCTGCCGCGTTTCACTTTAGTATTGGCATTCCCTCTCCACCGCATTCTTGCGAACACCCTTGAACGGTTGCCTACGAGACACTCCACGTGACAAGTTAGCGTTTTTGGGGTCGTATGATTGCTATAATGCACGTGATCAAATGGCACTAAGAGTATGCTGCCCACAGTTTCCTGTGCAGTCATTCACGTGGTTATTTTCATGGACTACTCATTCTAGTACACCTGTCTCTGAGGGAATCTACATTATTGATGCTTCTTGTTAAAACCTGCTCACAAGAACCTGGTTGCACCACCCAGGCCTTTATACGTTACCCTCGCTGGTAAGGTATCGCTCTACGCAAAACAGAGGACGTAACGTCAGTTGTGAAAAACAGTATGATTCGTTGTGACTCCACAAAATTCTCGAAATGTTCTGCTGTCCCAGCACCCGGTTTTTAACTTTGTGGCATCCTCATTACTTCGGGTGCTAATTTTACGCATTATTCCCGGACCGAAATCGGTTATAGGAGCTCGAAAATTCCTATTTTTCCTCGCCTGCGGCCAAATGTGACCGGTTGACCAACGTAGCATATTTTTACTGTGTGTGCAGCTTTGGGCGTGGACGCGGAGGAGGATGAGGAACCCGTGCCCTTGCCGAATGTCACTGCGGCTATTCTTCAGAAGGTACTGCAGTGGTGCACCTACCATAAAGATGACCCGCCTCAACAAGAGGACGACGAGAATAAGGAGCGCAGGACTGATGACATCTCCAGCTGGGACCAGGAGTTCCTCCGGGTCGACCAAGGCACGCTCTTCGAATTAATCTTGGCTGCCAATTACCTGGAAATCAAGGGCCTCTTGGATGTTTGCTGCAAATCGGTCGCCAATATGATTAAGGGCAAGTCACCGGAGGAGTTGCGGAAAATTTTCAATATCAAGTGTGATTTCACCCCACAGGAAGAAGAACAGGTGCGTGTAGTCGCTTACCTTTATACTTGCCTCAATTGCCTAAATGTTTGACGTCCTAGGATTCGGAAGGGCACAGTGCCCATTCGCTTCAGTGGGTGACCTATCTCAAGAAATGTTAACCAAAATCCCAAAATGCTTTTTCGATCAAGAGGGACTTCTTAAGTGGGGTTGCATCATACACTATTGTGCAGCATAATTCAAACATTTTAAACACGCCAGGATGCCGGCTTCCGAATGCGCATTTTCCGGCCTGTTTTAGGAACTACATTGTGTGAAAATGACCGTTTGCATAATGTGACTCGTTGCCCTCATAAATCCAAATATCTTTTATGGATAGCATGTGCAAAAATATCCTTTCGTGCACGCATTTGGTCGTAAACCACGTCTTCGGATTTTATGCTTGAAGGATGTTTTTTTCATTTTGAAAAAGTTTGTAATTATGAGATTTTTGAAGCCGTGAAATGTCCATTCAATCAACATTGCATGCGTCCATATCCATTGAAAGATGTTGTGCGTCCTGTTTGACATACTCTTAACGGCGTAGAGGAATATGTGCTTTTCCCTACGCGGAAAGTGTGCAGCTTCTGTTTTGTGAACGCTGAGCGCAATTGCAACGGCAGATCGGGTTCAAGATTATTGGGAATTGAAATGGTTTTTTTAAAACCGAAAGTTTCCCTTCAAGTACAAAATTTGAGGAATAAACAGGTGGCTACCAAACGAGTGCATGTTTCGTATAAGGTCAATTTGAATTTTTGAGGGCATAGAAAATCAGTGAAAAGGACTGTGTGCTACTTAAGCAGTCATTTTATCGAGTGTGGTTCTTACAGGCGGCGACAAAAGGTGCATTCAAAGAGCGGTATCCTGGCGTGACTTAAATGTTCTGCGATTATGCTGCAAGATAATACCACAACCTCATCCAGGCTATCCATTCTAATCGAAAGCACATTTCAGAATTTCGATTAATATTTTATGAGGCGAGCCACCTGTCTCTTGGTTGCCGGTCTCTCAGAAACAACTGCGAACCCAAGGTCGAGCTTTTAACAAATAATAGGGACATTATGTCTTTGTAAGATGTAGTATTCCACGAGCATTCATTTCGTTCAAATCCTAACATGTGACTGGACTATGGGGGGGGGGGGGGTTGCCGCAGTTTCCCTGTTTTTCTAAAACCTCAGAGCTCCTTCTATGCATAACGCTGGACTTTCCCCCCGCATTGCAGGTGAAGAAAGAGAACGAATGGTGCGAGGAGAAGTAACCGCACCCCCTCGCAGATATAGCAACACGTGCCACTACCCTCCTTCCCCCAACTGCTTGCAGACGCCTTTCGATCCGCGTCATAACTTTGTCTCAGGCAGGCCTACTCATTCACCCAGGCATTCACACGCGCTAGGCGCCGTCTTCATGCACATGGTATATACAGACCTTATTGCATCCCAGGCTAAGTTCCGAGCACACATTAAATACAACATAACCAACACCTATAACCCTGTCCCTCTCTCTCTTTTTATCTTTCATTAAAAACTCGGATTTACTTTCGAATCCACAGTATGTGCACGCGTGAGCAGGCTCATTTTTTGAATATGCTTTTAGTACTACCACCCATGAGTATACCTTGAAGAGTGTGGAGGGGGAGAATTGGGGAGTACTGTACTGCAATTAGGATGGGAACAGCGGAAATTATGCAGAAAGGTGTTTAATCGCTGTAAGTGGCGTCCTTTAGGTAAGTCGGACGGACAACGAGCTTTAACATGGACGGCCTTTGAACCGCATGGAAAAACTCTAGACAGGCAGCCACGGCTGAGTGTGTGCGGCAATATGAAAAAGTCAGTAAAACTCAAGAGAGCACAAAATAGAAGGAATGCTTCAGGACTTTTCTGAAGAAATTAATCGATATACACCAGAAGCAGACGGGTGGCACGTGCCGCCGCCTAGATTAAGACTAGAATCTGATGCGTTACCCAAAACGGATACGTTTCTTAAATAGCGGGCGGGCGAATTTCTAACTGAAAATCTAAGATGAACGATTAGTGTACGTAGACTGGGGGCGTTGACTGACTGGCTACAGGAAATGGCTCCGGATCCCCCGCCAGACGCGCGCCACCAAGGTTGTGTTCATGCAAGCGGGATCGCGAGGCCGTCTTCCACCACCACCGACAGTTCGACCATCGGTTTCGATGATGTCCACCGTGTGCCCCACAGCTGCAGCAGCGGTGGGAGCAGGGACGGTGACTTACGCAGGGGTTTATAGTGCCAGTAGACTTGCGTAGTATCTACCTACACTCTCCTCCTCTCCCGCCTGAGCCCAGTGTCAAGACAGAGTCAAGAAGACCGGAGACGAGGGAGGCCGCCGGTGGATGGCTCGGACGGATCCTCACCTTGGCGCTCCACCACACCCCCTGGTCCACACAACAAATGACCCGGATTTCAACCAACACAAGACAGATTTGGAGGCTGGCACGGCCGAAGCCGCACCTGGGCGTGCCGCCAACGCCTGGCTCGGATCCCACACTGTGGTGGGAGTGCCATAAAGGCTACATTAAAAAGGAACCATTGCAGCCTGACTCTCAGACCGCCACCAGTCAAGGAGGAGGTCCAAGTTATCCCGTCAGTTGACAACCTTCCAAGCCACGGCTTTTAGCGCACCGTGATAGCTTCAAGCGCGTCAGATTGTTTATAGTGAGGAAAGTGCGCTGAGTCGTCGACCTCACTCTCCCCATCTCCACACCCCAGCCGCTGTCCGAGCCGGTCAACAGGCTGGAGTGGGAAATGGGCGCGGTGGCTGCCATGGTCGACTGACCATGACTGCGCGCGCCACGAGCACGACCTGGCCCCCCATACACAAACACCAGGATTTCACACAAAGGAGTTTGAACGGCGTGTCTCTCACTTGCGTGAGAGTGCCGTGGAAGGTGCTGTTTCAGCCCGTCCCCAGCCCACCAGTCGGCCATTCCACACAACACCACACAAAACGCGACGAACTGCGTGAACCGAGAGCGGACGTCAATCAGCAGCCTTCCTATTCACGGCGCTTGACCTGTCGGGATAGTCTCGGACTCAAGTCGCCCGTACAGCCGGGGCCGCATGGGGACCGAGTCGAGATGCACACTTCCCACTTGCGTGGGAGGTGGCAGTTGGGTGCATGAGGTGTGTGAGTGTTGGTGTGTGGTGGAGGAAGGTAGGGAGTGTGTGGATGTGTGGTGCAGCCGGCGGTTGTCTACCGCAGGTCTTCGTGGATGCGCATGTGGCCGAATAGGCCCATGCGATGCCTGAAAGTGCGAGGGCAGTGTGGGCAGTTGAGACGAGCTTGGTGGGTATAGGTGGGTGCTCCAGGCACTGGTTCGCCAGTCTCTGTGCGATGGATTCGCAAGTGACCGACCAGGCCGATGCGTGAGGTGAATGTGCGTGAACAGTGTGGGCATGAGTAGTCGGCGGTGTCAGTGTCAGCTACAGAGGAGGCGGTGGTGGTGGTGTTGGCGCAGGCGGATAGAGCGAGGGTGGGGCTGGGCATGGTGGGTGTGCTGGATGTGGTGGGTGTCAGAATTGCGGTCGATTCCGCTCTCGTGTATGCGCATGTGACCAAATAGGCCCATGCGATGCCTGAAAGTGCGAGGGCAGCGTGGACAGCTGAGTCGAATGTGGTGGCTATAGGTGGGTGCTCCAGGCACTGGTTCGCCAGTCTCTGTGCGATGGATTCGAAAGTGACCGACCAGGCCGATGCGAGAGGTGAATGTGCGTGAACAGTGTGGGCATGAGTAGTCGGCGGTGTCAGTGTCAGCTACAGAGGAGGCGGTGGGGGCGCAGGGTGGTGATGTGAGGGTGGGGTTTGGCATGATCGATGAGTCGGTATTGCGGTCAATTCCGCCCTCGTGAATGCGCATGTGGCCGAATTGACCCATGCGATGCGTGAAGGTGCGAGGACAGTGTGGGCAGTGCAGGCGAGTGCGGTGGGTGTAGATTGGTGCTCCAGGCACTGGTTCGCCAGCCTCTGTGCGATGGACTCACAAGTGACCGACCAGGCCGATGTGTGAGGTGAAGGTGCGGTCGCAGTGAGGACAGATGTAGTCCTGATCCTCATCGTTGGAGTCGACGGGGGTGGGGGTGGTGTCAGTTGTTGTGTCGGGGTTGGTGATGTGCGAGACGGCCGCCTGAGCGGCCGTCGCTACCACCACCACCACCACCACCACCACCACTACCACCACCACCACCACCAGGTAGAGGTCTAGTACAGCCGAGCTGCGATTCAAGATATGCATATCTGAGAGTCAGTAAACTTGACTGGCCAAAGTACATTTGCAGTGAAGCGAGAGGAGGCGGTGGGTTGCGCAGTTTTCCCTACCGGCCACGCATGGGGGGTGAGACAGTCTTCGGACACGGCAGTTGAGTTTCTCGCAAATTTCCTACTCAGCGCGTACGCCTGGCACGGAACAAAAGTTTGTGAGCTTTCTGTACATCGTCTTCTTGCACAATTTGCTTCTGTACCTCGTCAAGTGTGAGACCCGTTAAGATGCGCTTTAATCAAGTTGTTAGTTTGAGCTCCGGCGCGTACACTGACCCGTATTTTTGTCAGTTGTCCCCCTGATCCAACCAAAAACATTGGCAGCAGTTAACTGTGCTTGCCGCGGCCTATGCGATGGCACGGGGCTTCGAACGATGTCCCGGCCTCCGGTAATTGTCATTGGCACGCAATTCCCAGTCTACCATTGGCAGTTAGCGGTCTATGGGAATGTTACTTGGTATGTCCGTAGCCGGAATTTGGATAGTTTTTCTCGTGCCACGCAGAATCATTGAAATCAGAGCGAGAAATAACGGGTAAGTGGAAGCGAATGTTGAGGCAGTCTAGGTGCCCGCCAATCCTGCTGCTATGTGGCGTCTGACACTTTCAAGGCACGTATTGAGAGTTCTCCCTGCCGCGTCGTGGTTCTGTCGCTTATCCACGCGCCGACTGGGTGGTTTTGACTTTTATCCACGCCGACAACCGCATCATTAGCAAGTATACTTCACCGGGACGATTTGACGGCCTCTATTGGCATTCTATGTCGCGTAGGCGGAATTCGGGACAGATGTAACCAACGCAACAGAAGTGGTGAGCGTCTATGGTCCAGTAATTCATCCGTCGCAAGTGCTACCATTTTCCCGAACGCGATATGATGACTTGCACACGAATTTGTTTGTGGTGGAGCTGACCTACACCTGACTCACCCAACCCGCTTCTGAAAAGTGGGCTTGCTTGTGGAAGTATTGCTTGATGAGCTGAGACCGTGCGCACGCAAGCTGCGCACGCGCTAGTTTCTAAATCGACACGAGCCAGTCTTCAGCGTGGGGTTTCCGATTTCACACAAGTCAGCGTCACAAGGGTAATATTTTGGAGGATCTATTTCAGCCTGGTTTTCGTCTTAAGGGCCGATTATTTAGTTAACTGACTTAGCTGTTCATATTTATTAAGGCGGAGGGGGGGGGTACACACGGAATTGGCCCCGGTTCCTCTTTCATATCTCTATCGTGTGCCAGTGACAAGCTGACTGAGGCGAAGTTAGGGGCGATGGTTGACGCGGCGCAAAGCGTCCGTCCCTTCATACACACGGAACAGACTTCCTAGAAGCTGATATTGTCGTGACAGCCTAAGCCAAAGGCATATCCTGGCCACTACGACCTTCAGGCCCGGTCCCGAATAGAAAGAGGTGAAGTTGGACGCCAGTAGATGACAAAAGAATGTCAAGATAGAGGGGAGGTGCGTTCGAGTGCAGTATCTGAGAAATCTAAGCGGTCGTCCGTCAGACGCCAACTGGTCACCATTCCAAGTGTACCACGCGTTTGTAAGTGTGGCTCGGATCTCATACCGGTGAGAGTGTCATCATAGAGGTCACACTGAGGGGTAATTAAAGTTGACTCTCGGTCCTCGGGCCAGTCATCCCACATACAGTGCGTGACCGATCTCATGAAATGTTGGCCAAAATTCTGGAATGCGTTTCCGACTAGGAAGGATTACTCAAGTGGGGTTGATATACTGATTATCATGCAGCACAACCATATGATATTTCGGACTCGCCAGGATGTCTGCATTTGAGTGCACTTCTTTTTGACCTCCTGCAGAAACCACACTCGGTAAAGAATGACTACTTAATTGGCATGCATTTTTCCTATTGATTTTCGGTGGTCTTATAGATTCAGATACATTTTAAAAGAAAAAATGCACAAATATATGCTTTCTTTTACTCTTTTGGCAGAAAATCACATTATCTTCAAAGAAGGTGTATATTAAGGTTTTAAAAAAGTTTCTAATTATGAGATTCTTAAGACCGTGCGATGTCCATGCATAAAGGACCGCATATGTCCGTTTACTAATGCTCCTCATGAAATGTAAACACAATTTATTCGGGAATTGGGGAACTTTTTAAAAACCTAAATATACACTTTCTTCGGGTATACAGTATGAAGACAATGTGATTTTCTTCCAAATGAGCAAAAGAAAGCATATTTTTGTACATGTTTTCTATAAAATATGTTTGAATTTATAGGGCCATCGAAAATCAATATAAACAATGCATGCTACTTAAGTAGTCATTTTTTACTGAGTGTGGTTTTTGCAGGTCAAAAAGAAGTGCATTCAAAAGCCGACATCCTGGCGAGTCCGAAATGTCATGCAGTTATTCTGTAAGATAATCAGTATAACAACCTCACTTAAGTAACCCTTCCTAATCGGAAACGTATTCCAGAATTTTGGCCAACATCTCATGAGATCGGTCACGCACTGTACATCGCACTGACCACGCGGACCGTGTTATCCGGTCAGTTGGCAATCTCCCAAGCCATAAAGTCTAGGGAATCGTGACGGATTCAAGCGCGTCAGACTTAATCTACTGAGAAATGTACTGATTTGCCGTGGGGATGGGCTCGCCAGTGCCCGCCCCAAGCTCTTCCAGTTGACTGTCTAAACCCGTCAACTAGATGGTGATGAAAAATGGACGCAATGGCTGACAGCGATAGGCAACTCGACTACGGGTGCCAAACACGGCTTGATCACCTCGTTTACCAGGATACCACAAAGGACATGCTTCCCACTCATGCAAGGTGTGCATGTTCTGGCAAGTGGCGTTAAGCCGGACACAGCGGCGACGATGAAGTGGATTACGTGCTTGGTGAATGTTACGAGATGTGTCGCGTGGTGTCGAGGGGATTCGCGTGGTCTGTAGACGTGTGTGGGAAGGTAGGGGCAAGGTGTAAGCATTGGATCTAGATCGCGGACACACCGAAGATTTGATACGCCCAGATGGGCCCATACGATGACCGGATGTCCTTAGGCGGTGAGGACAGGCGAAGCGGGCGTGACGGGACTCTTGCCATTGATATGCCAGTTTCAATGCGATAGATTCGTAAGTGCCCGACCAGGCCGATGTGACGCAAATGTACGATGGTTGAGCCGGCGGAGTGGCTATGTTATTAGTTGTGACGACGCTGGTGGCGGTTGAGTTGGCAGGACTGGTAATAGGGGAGTTTTCAGGTGTAGCCAGTAGGTTTACCGTAATGACGCTGCAGTGGGCGCCGCTGTCATGGTCGATTAAACCCCTGTGGTGTCTGAATGTCCTGGGGCACTGCAAAAAGACGAGGCGTGTCACGGGTGTGCGTCAGTAATACGGGTGCTGACTTGCTGATCTCATTGCGATGGGTTCGTAGGTGAGCGACGAGGCCTGTGCGTGATGTGAAAGTGCGGTCGTAATGAGGACACGTTGAAATTGAGTAAGCATTTTAGTGGTAAGGGCAGTGACCGTAGTGATTTGTAGATTTGCAATAGTGTCCTCACTGGCGTTGCCAGTGGTGGTATGTTGTGAGATAAGCGGGGGGTTAATCATGCTGACACTGAACCGGATCCGCTGAAAGTGTGAACACGATAGCAGGTCTCGGGAGCTGCAGTCATAGGTCCTAGCAGTCTAGTTTTGCAAGTCTCATTTTGCTTTAACAGTGGCTATTGGGTTGGCTTCGACTCCAATCTTTATCACAGAGTGTCATGCCTGTAGAGGTTCTCCTGTAGAGGTTCTCATGTAGAGGTTCTCCCTGTTCTTTGGGTTAATTTGCGGGTGCTTGAGTTAGGTTGTCAAGGTGTCAACTTTGTCTGCGACCACCCACAGCTACGCTACCGCAGAATAGACGCTTGGGTCGTCCATCCTCACGACATCCCCATCGCAGTTTTATGTGCTTCAGCATGGCATGAATACTGAGAACGCCGATGCTTTTCAAAATATCAGCGTCTGGGATCCTTTCCTGCCTCTTCACCTTTAGGATTGTTTGGAGGTAGTGAAGGTGGAATTGACGAAGTTTTCTTGCTTAACCTTTATAAACAGTCTTCGTCTCTTCTCCATGCATGAATGTTGCCCGGGCCGCAGCTCTATACATTTTCCTTTTTCTGTTGAGTAGGATGCCACGACGGTTCCAGTCGGAGTACTTTAGCTGGCTGAAAGCCTAATTAGACTTGAAGATCTGAATTTCGGCCTCGTCGTCAATTCTGGTATTTCATGAAGCCCTACTCCCAGGGTACGCGCATTTGTTCACTGAAGTGAGGGATGGTTATTAAGGACGAGCATCCACGCAAGATTTCCGACAGGTAAGCAGATCAGATTGGGCAAGCCTCACTGAGGCTAGAAAGCGTACGGGCTGCTCAGCGAGCACTTCGAACATGCCGTGTCTTAAGACGAGTGCGAGTTCAGTTTTGGGTCCAGCACGTGTATGCGCGCCGTGGGCTCTGACCGCCTGCGGTGAATCAGCGAAGGATGCAGCATCAATTGGCTTCGACTTCTCGCCGCATAAGTGGCAAGTCATGAGCAATCCCAACAACTAACTGACGGGGAGCGTGGACGACAGAGAGACAACCGGGCTGACGAGAGTGGGAGCAGACCGCCACAAGTTCCACTGACGTTCACACGGGCTTCGGTGTAATTAGTATCTGGCGCTGGTCGGTGCTGGGTCACTCTCTAAACTGCGCTGATGACCAGTCGGAAGTTGGAGCAGCCTGAAGCGGAGAGGTCCATACTCTTCCGTTGTGCTGTTTAGCACGCAGCCATCTGTGAACAATAGGTCTTGGACATTGGTCCTGGATACTTTCGAAGATGTTTGCAGGAAGCGAAGGTTGAGCAGTTTCCCGTCGGTTTGGTAGTCGAAAGTAGGCGTACGTCAGTATAGCGGAGTGTTCTGAACGCGAAGGACGCTATTCGCACTGCATTTCTGGAAGGAGTCCCCGCCCCAGATGCGCGTTCAAGCGATGGAGTAGGACACAGACAAGAACTTCCCTGCGATGATGAGAAGGGAGATACCTCTGTGGTTATCACAGATTTTCCGGCTCAACTAGCGTTTACAGATGTGCCCGAGGATGGCATCCATGCAGCCCGAGATACCTGCCCTTGTCGTCAAATCTCAGAGTACAGCGAGGCAAGCTTTTCCAAAGTTTTGAACCGCCTTGTAAACGTCGGCACTGAGCATAGCCTGGCGAGCACGGTCCAGCGGGACATCTCCTTGACGCCAATCAGGGGATCCATAAGTTGGGAGCCACCATGCTTGTAGACCTCAGCAGGGATCGCGTCCGATCCGGGTGCTTTCCCGCTAGAGAGCTGTTGCACGGCCCTGGTGGTTTCCTGGTGAAACGGCGGAAGGTCGAGATCCACGTTGGTCTCCGCTTGCGGCAGACGGCCGATGGTGGCGTCGGAGATGGTGGAGGGACGGTTGGGGACGCCTCGGAAGTGCTCGGCCCATCGCTGTAGAATTTGTGTCTTCTCAGTGAGGAAGGTACTGCAGTCGCGCTGAGGAGAGGAGCCGTACCTTTGGTCGGCGGACCGTAGACGGCTTTGATCGCGGATTAGAAGTTCTTCCATTCGTTGCGGTCCGCATACGCTTGGATCTCCTCAGCCTTGCGAGCCGTCCAGGCGTCTTGCATCTCGCGCAGCCGCTGTTGTAGGAGGCGGCGACAACGTTAAAAAGCAGCTCTGTTTCTTTTGGTGAAGTGGTCTACGTATGCTTTGTGCAGGCGATTGTTCTCGGCGAGCAGGCTGCTGATGACGGCGTCGTTGTCGTCGAATCAGTCCTAGTGTTGGAGGCATGCTCGATCGAGGACGGTCAACGCCGTCGACTGGACTGTGTCCCGCAGTTGACACCATCGGTTTTCCCCGGAGGCGTTCTCGTCAGCTGCGGCGGCAACGACAGCGGCAGCGACGGGAAGGTTGTCTAGCGGTTTAGCTAGCTCGTTGGTGAAATGGACATGGTAAGCAGGCAAAGATTTGTTGTCTCCTGCGACACACACACTACAGTTCGACCGTCGCATCCGACGATGTCTACCGTGTGCTCCACAGCAGGTTGAGAGCAGGAACGGTGACTTGCGCAGGAGTTATAATGAGAGTAGGCTTTCGCTACATCTACCACCCTCTCTTCCCCTCCCCCCACCTGGACCCGGTTTCAAGACAGAGTCAAGAAGACCGGAGACTGGGGAGGGCGCAGGTTAATGGCATGGCCGAGACCCCACCTTGGCGTCGCACTCACACACACACGCAGTCCTCACATGCATGAGAGTGCCAGAGGTCACATTGAGAGGGAGCTGTTGCAGCCTGGCTCTCAGCCCACCAGTCCGTCACTCCACACAACCACATAGCTGGCCAGACTGCGTGGACTTAGCTGAGGGTCAGTCGGCAATCTTCCAAGCCATGGCTCTTGGCGCACCGTGAAAGTCTCAGACTCGGAACACACATGCAACAGAGTAGCCACATAGAGTAGGAGCCCAGAAGCACATTCCTCACTTAAGTGAGAGGTAACAGTTGTGTGCTCTGCGTTCGGTAATGGCGGATGATGTTGTGTGCGGCAGGTGCTGATGGGGGAAGATGTGATGGTATGGTGTAGCTGGCGGTTGTCTACCACAGGCTTTCGCGAAGACGCATGTGGCCTAAAAGGCCCATGCGGTTAGTGAGTGTGCGAGTGCAGTTAGAGTAGTTGTATCAAGCGTGTTTGGTCTAGGTTGGTGCTCCAGGCACTGGTTCACCCGTCTCTGTGTGATGGATTCGCAAGTGACCGACCAGGCCGGTGCGTGTGTGTGTGGTGAATGTAACGGTGACATTGTGGACAGGAAAGGTCAGCGGTGTCAGTGTCGGTTTCGATGATGGTGGGTTGGGATAGGCCTTGTGGATGTACACACGCGCACACACACTCGCTCTCTCAAAATCCCCCAACAAGCTTCCGTAGCAGATCCAACTTAGATGACAGGAGGTGGGAATATATGGAGTTCTTGGGCGGGTACCTAACTCCAGTTTTATGCACGTCAGACACTTGTTTTTTTCACGGCCACCTCGAACCGACGCGGGCAGTCCACGTGGCACAGAGGGTCGGTCTAGCGAATCAGCGCTGCAAATTCCCTATCCAAATAATCGATTGAACTACTTACGAATGCTGCGTATGCCCTGGTGTTCTTGCCCAAATTGCTCTTGAACAGGCTGCCCCCGATCCTGGCACCAACCGGACTCGAACAACGGCATACAATGTGACAGGCGAGGTAAGTCACAATAATTCAGCTGCACTTTTTTTTAAAATTTACCTTTACGAATTATGCTGGCTTCTCTCGCATACATGCTGCGCGCCCGACGCCCTTACCGTGCCGTCATCACCATGGCAACCACCTTGACCCCGTCGGCGCCCGAAGCGCTAAGACGACTCAGTTACTGGAGCCGTGTGTGGCAATTTTGATGCCTTACAAAATGTGACACTAGCTCTGGACTGCTAAGACGGGGATACCTATGGAATGGTTGTTATGCCGGCGAGTATCAGAATTTGGGGGTTTTATTTTAGCAGGATGAAATGCCCGTTACACAGAGCGTTTGAGACAGAACAGACAGATATGAAGCGCGCTGAGTTGTTTAAATATTCTAGGTAATAAGGCAAGCGAACACTAGTGCAGTATTTCCCATTTTCTAGAAATTCAACTGACAAATTATCTGTAAGCTCTCAAAAAGGGGCCACTGTTTCGTCAAGACGAACTTTGTAAAGAAAAACCTAAATGAATACTTCCACGTGGTGACGCGGCTAGTCACTGGAGCTTTGCCCAAGAGATGAAAAGGCCCTGGGAGGTTAAACGATGAAATTCAGAAAAGGATGCTGCAGTGTGAGACTAATGATACTTTCCAAAATCGTATAGTAATCAGAAAAGTCGAAAAAAGCTGGACAGCATTTAAGAGAATAGAAATTCTAACAACTTGTGGGAAGTGCAAGCTAAACAAGTTTGGTGTTTTTTTCCAACTCGGACTGTTCCATGGTGAAGAAAATAGACGAAAGTGCTTCAAGCTCCAGTATTCTGAGTTGAGCTTTAGTGCTTTCGCTCTCAACAAACAAAAGACAGAAGCTAATAACTCCGAAAGCGAGCCAACTGGTGGCAAGTCAATGGCGTCAGCGAGGCTTTAACAGGTAGGCTACTTGTATAGCTTGCAGACGCCTGAGGCGCACTCCCGGGCATCGTTTCAGGTTTTGCAACACTTGGACGGTGTGGAACCATCAAGTGTGGGGTGAAATCGGCCATTTTCAAGCTGGAGAACAGATGAAGTAAGCAAGCGTGCATAACGAACTAAGAGCTCAGTCCTACAGTGCCCACGGTATCATATCTATTGTAAGCGCGAACCTACGCCATGTTCTTTGGCAGGAATAAAGTGAAGGAACCAACCAGAGATAAAACGTACTCCTGAGCTGTGCCTTCACGTAAATATTCTTCGCGTCCTCTACTGAAGTCCAGGTTAGCACTTGAACCGGTTATAATATTTTGTGGGAAATGTATCTTTTCGGAAAACCTAGACATAAAATGCAGACACACATTTTTACTAATCTTGTTCGAAGCAGACATTTCTTCCTCCAAATTAAACACCAATAGAAGTAGAACAGAGGCAATAAGCACGATTCTAGGGACCAAATCGCAAGCCAAAGAAACACACTAAGGTTAACCTCCAGCCCAAACACTATTAAAGACGTTTCAACGCATTTCTTATCATAACGGCCTATTGCTAAAGCTCGGAAAGCTTGGAAGTGCCGGTGTTTCGACGCGCCATTCACTATATGAATCCACAACTTTACACATTAAGGCTCTCGATTGCACGTAATATTCTAAATTTTCGAATACTGTGCACGATACTGCCACGTTTTATGATATGAAATACCTTTAGTTAAAGACTCTGAATCCTCCGTTTTATGACCTCCTCCCTTCTCTCGAAGGACAAACACAGACCGGAAGCTAACGAATTGTTGAAGTTTTTGTAGGTGAAACCAAAACTAGCCAGTGGGCGAAATACGGTTCAAACCAGACTCCCTTCAGACTAACAATGATGTTCAACAAAGTGCATTTCGCGGAAACAAGAACACTACAAAAAACTGCCCTCGCATGTCTTCAGATGCTTGGAAAGGGTAACTATGACATGTCTGTCAAGTGCAAATTGTTGTCCCAGCAGCCAAAATTATCTATCTAAATATCAAGGAACGTAAAAACCTTCAATGAATGCCATTAGCGACATAATGGGAGTTGGACACGTAATCTCAGCTTTCCCGATTGGTATGCGCGGTTTCATGCGTCGCCTTTACTCAGGGCTGATAAGTCCTCTGGGGCGGTTTAACACTTTGATGTGAACCGCAATACACCAGGTTACGAGCTAACTGCGGGGGGTCTGTTACAAAGAGTTCGGATAAGGAATGTATCTTTAATGTTTCTCGGAAGCACGTACTGTAGTAGGCAAACTGATATTAATTCCTGAGTTCAGGGTGGCGCTGAACTAATGTTAGTTGAAACCTGCATTTGCGGTCATTCATTGCATGGGTACTGGTGGGGAATCTGGAAACGTTTCCATCCCGTTTCGGAATATCGATGACTGCTAAAAAGTTATAGATGGCAGACCTATTGCAGACATAGTTTCAGGTTTGCTAATCATTCGCGTGAACTGGTATAAAAAGATTTACAAAAGGTGAGAACGAACATGTTTCAGAGACCCTGCGCAAAATTTATCCGTTGGGGAAGCGGATATTAAACAGATGGGCTGCTGCGGGCACGGCCAACGATTGCATCATACCAAAGCCAAGATCGCAGTCTTCTCTGAGCTTCTAACTTCCGCTGCCATTTGGTACCCTATAAGAGAATGCTAACTTCCGTCTTATGATTTGCTAATGGATTGCCAGCTGATGGATTACAGCAGACAGAAAAATAACCATGCTACTTATCGCTCAGGTGGCTTCTACTAAAAAATAAATGGTTTTTGCTATGTTCTGTGGGAGCGCATAATACATGCAGCCAACATGGATGAATTCGCTTGTGGAAAATGTATCCTCGTGTAGAAAAATCGGTAACATACTAGCGTACTAATCGAAGCAAAGAGGCGAGTTCCAGGAAGCAGTCGCGAAGCAGGAGACACGATCGCTGAACCAAGAGCTTTATTAGCCTGACGTTTCGGATTCTCACTCGGACCTATCATCAGAAACAGAGCCAGGTAAGGGTAGTAAATTGCCCAGGTGTTGCAGTATTTGTGTAATGCAGCTGCTAGGCAACTACATGCCTATCACAGTTGGTTGCTCCCGAGTACACCACGGCTCGACTGACCAGGTGATGAAGTATGCAGTTACCACGCGGTTGCTATGCGCTTGTGTGACGGTTAAGATTCTTGCTAGAGGCGACAACCACGTAAGCAGCGAACTGCTCGAGTCATGGTTTTCCGGTCCTCATTCCATCACAAAGCGCAACGACCTCCCCACTACATATTCGGCGCCGAGACTTTGCCCAGACAAAGTAGTTAGCCGCGAGGAGAGCGTACGGATGATCACTGTTTCTGGTGTCAATGTCAGAGAGCCAAATTGCCCAAGAGTCCACGCG